ACCCCTCTCTGCCAATTCCTCCATTGGCTTCCGATTGCCCAGCAAATTAAATCCAAAATACTAATAACAGCATACAAAGCCATCCACAATTCTGCCCTCCGCTACATCACTAACCTAGTCTTCAAATATCACCCAAACCATGCACTCTGCTCATCCTAAGACCTCCTGCTCTCAATCTCTCTTGTCTTCTCTTCCCATGCTTGTCTCCAGGATTTCTCCAGAGCCTCTCCTTTCCTCTGGAACTCCCTACCTTTAGGCAAATCCTGAAAACTCATCTTTTTAGGGTAGCCTATCATGCCTCCACTAACTGAACTTTAATCTCTTCCATCATGCTCGGTGTGTATGGACACACAGAGCCAGCTCAGGAGTACCACCATAGCAAGCAGCAACACCATTGCACAGAGCAGGTAAGTATGACATGTCTACAATCATTTTTAAATAGAACTATAGGCAAAATTTCTTTTTTGTTTTTCATTTTGGATAGGTCAAGGGAGGGTTATAACCCCTGTCAGTTTATTTTTGTCATCTGTGTCCCATTGGAAAGATTTATCTTCAGTTCCTGTCCCATATTCAAAACAGGAAGTGAGAGAAAATCCCTGCAAATTAAGGGAATTCCTTGGGGACCCCCAGGTCACCAGAACTAGTGTCCCCATTGGAAGATTTCCCCTCTATTACTTTTCCGGAGACAAGCCAAAATTTGGGTCTTCTTTTACTTTCAATGATAATGGTAAACAGGACAAACCAAGAGGGTGAATCACTCTTAATGGGGGCACAGACAGCAATAAAAACTGATGGGTGTTCTAATCCCTCTCCACTCTATCACATTGTTGAACCTGGGAGTTATCAATCTCGTTTCTCGAACCTAAAATTTCAAGGTTTTTGTTCAAACCTGTTTTCAGTTCTAAAACCTGAAGGAGGCATTCCTCCTATCTTGCAATTAAAAGCCTTCCATGCCTTTGCACCTCCTCAAAAGTTTGGATGGAATCCATTTGACCACTTGTTGCTTCCCTTTTTAACAGAGACTTCTTAGTATCCATCAGCATAAAGGATGAATATTAACACATTCCCATCTCAAACCTCAGCAATTTCTTCGCTTTGCCACATTAACAACCACTATTGGTTTGTGGTCTTTCCCTTTTGGCCTTGTTTCTGTTCTGATAGCATTAACAAAGATCCTCACACCAGTTTCTGGGTCTTCTGGACATTCCAGTATTTGCATATTGGAATTCTGCTTCTGTCACATCATTTTAGTGTTCTTGGGTCTTTTCCTGGATGCCTTTAAGGGCAAGGTCCTCAGTCCTGTGTCTCAGGTTTGAAAGGTGGAGATCTGGTCTTCTGAGCTCACTTTTTCTAAGTTTTACAAGGTCAATTGTGTCTGAATCTGTTCTGTTGCCCCTGATCTCCCTTCATTTGGATGGGCTGGTTCACCTGCGTTTGTTTTTCTGTTCCCGCCCCTCTGTTTGAACCACTTTCGATCATCCCTAGGTTACGTAATTACCATCAAGCTGTGTCCCTCAATGGGTGATAGTAAAAATTGATTTTTGTACTTAAATCCTTTTCTCAGTGCCCCTTGAAGCTAACATTTCCATCCCCTCAAATTTCATCATTCTGTCTTTGGACTGATTGCTAATACTGAGCAGGTAGGAGGGGATGTAGCCTCTATGGTGGCTAATCTTCAGTTTTCTATGTTCCTACCATCTATTTTTCCTGTAGGCATAATTCTAGGTTGCTTAATTACCATCCAGCTGTGTCCTTAAAAGAGAAGTATGGACTTTAGAAAAAACAAATGTATACTCAGGTGGAGGATGTAGCATAGACCTGATGCTGTAGCATAGATCCAATGCTACATCTGTCTTCACCGGCTCTACAGTGAGAATTAAGCGATCAAATGCTGCCGGTTGCTTAGTTCTCCCCTCCATGACTGTCAGTCACTGGCTCTCTGCTCTTGTCCCTCCAGCACTCACTGGAGTGGTGTGGATGGTAGGGGCTGGCTCAGGTCCTCAGCAGATTGCTGAGAGGCTAAACCAGGTGCTGGTCCAGTCTTTTGGGTGGGTCCCGATCATATGGTCAGGATCTTTTCAGAGCCTAGACCAGCTCTATGAAGTTAGCCAGCAGCGGATTTTAGCTTGCTGTCGGCTGAAAACAGGCCACAGGAGTGCAAAAACAAACTGTACTCTTGCGATCCAAAGAAGTACAGCCAAGAAAGCTTTGACTATACGTCTACTTTGAAGGGGCTCAGAGACACCAGTTTGCATCACCCGTGATCTTGTCTATACTAGAACCTGGACTAGATAACCTATTGGCGAATTCATGTAAGGAGAAGGGTAGGGAAGGTTTATAAATAAGAAATGAAAGTGGGGACATTTTCATTCGAAGTGAGAATTCATCATATGCAATAACCCATCTGCAAAACTTTTTGCATGAAAATAAAGCTGTACTAAGGAAAATATCCAGGCTGCCGTTGCTGACCTCTCTGGAAATACTAGCTGCCTGGCTGTCAGTATACTCTAAGTCACTGACCCAAAAATAGGAGCCCCTATATTTATCTCATGACAGGTCTCCATTGAAGATTTCTAGGTGCAGTGTATGCTGTTTTAGTTGAGCTAAGGAGTTAGTACAATGTCACTAAACATCAAGAGCAGTTGTCACTGTTATAATTGCACTGCACCTTGGAGCAAGTAAATATTGGAGTGGAATGGATTCTACTGCTGGGGCTTCGTGAGTGTGAGCTCCTAACTTGCATAGAGGCTTTGTGATACTTCAAAGACCTTCAGATAAAAGAGTTGGTCTCCAAAGCTGACATCTCCTCTGCAGTGTTGTATCTCCATTGGCCGTGTTCCATCATACTCCCCAAGCTTTCACTAGGAGTTTCCTGGCAGTAGTTCACAGCTCATTTACTGACACTTCACCTTGGTTGTCTTATTATCATCTTTGACTTTTTTTTTAAGCCTTAAAAATGATTTATGGAGTCGTCTAATCTAAAACGAACCTCCCTGCCTAAAAATAAATGTACTTTCTGGTCATTCAGCAGTTAATGAGCTGGTACTACAAATTCCCACAGGCTTTAGTGAGTGTGCTCTGATCCATTTGTTTTAGACCCCTGTGTATGGAGGGCGGCAGTTGCCGCTTACTATGTGTAAAAGAATAATATGCAGGTGCCATCATTAGTTATATTGTTGCTTTTGCTTTAAAAAGAAAAAAACATCTGTTTGTTCATCTTGTTTTGAAAAACATGGCCTGGAGCAACTTGTAGCTATATCAGCCTTGGTATCTAAGGCCCAGTATGATCATTTATGATTGCAAAACCCTTGATTGCCTTACAATACTTTCTTACCTTGCCGATGTTCTGTTATCACAATGACCCTTGTAACATTCACATGGGAGTTTCTTTTTTTTGGGGGGGGATTAAAACCCTAGGGTTGAGCTGTGGTTTTACCACCCCCAACTGCTACCCCTTTTAGCTGCAGAGGCAGTGGCTGGGTGTGCACATGGCACTGCTCTGCCCGCAACCACATGCATTGCACGTGGCTGCGATGTACTAGTGCACGGTTAAAGCAGTTGGTGATATGGTGATACAGTTCTTCTTCACTGCATGTCAAATACTGTCTGAAGAGCGATATGGACGCAGATCTCTCAATGTGGAGCCACAGGGGTATTGGTTTCAACAATAAGGCAGTACAGCCAGCCCTCCTGCTTCCAGGTGCCCAAGCCCCTCTGTTGAACTGATGGGGCCGGGGCCCCTGTATAGGAGGGCTGGCTGTACTACCTTATTGGCAGCCCTGGACCTAAGTGAGGTTACAATTATTATTATTATTCAGGATTTATATAGCGTCAACAGTTTGCTCAGCGCTTTACAATATAACGGGAAACAATACAGCAACAATACAGTTCAAGGGCCCTGCTCCTTGGAGCTTACAATCTAAGAGGTTACAATGAGTATAATGTAGGTGTCATCTCACCCTGATTGAGCAATGGCAAAATTAAGTGTATTTCCACTTTTGCAGTCAAATTTGCGAAAACAATGTTTATTATCCATTCCCATTGACACAGCGTACCTAGAAAAAAAAACTTTTTTTTTTTAATTCTTACTTTTTAGATGTTTCTTTGGAGCAATCCATTGAGCACTACTCTGAACTCTTTTGTAGAGAGTCTGTCCCTAGACAAAGACTGTGGACACACTGGGGTTTATTTACTAAAGCTGGAGAGTCCAAAATCAGACTCCCTTCTGCATAGAAACCAATCAGCTTCCAGGTTTCATTGCCAAAGCTTCATTGAACAAGCTGAGGTTAGAAGCTGATTGGTTTCTATGCAGAAGGGAGTCTGATTTTGGACTCTCCAGCTTTAGTAAATAAACCCCACTGGGTTTCCCCCATTAACATAAACTGCAGGGACCAAACCCTGAGATCTTTAACCCTCACAGACTGTGTTCAGATCTAGTTTGCAGCTGATAATGAAATCTGCCAGCACAGTACAGGCAAGGTTAATTATGTTAAACATTCACTCCCTAGCCTCCCTAGCAGAGGAAAGCTTTAGTTTTGGAGTTTTCAGAACAGAGTAAGTAAAATGTAAGTAGCAATTTCGAAAAATCTATGCTATGTGAATGAGAACATTAGAGTAACAAATATAAAATCTATACCATAACCTAAATCCCAATTTGGCTGTACAAGTGGAAGTACACTAAGCTTTTCAAAATTCAATGTCCATTGTTCTTCCCACTTTTAAGGCCCTAGAAAGGAAGGGTCTCCTCTACTCCCTTTGCTAGCATATGAACTCATCCTGTTTCTTGAAAAAGGACATTCTGAAATGAACATGCTTAGCAAAAAGTAATGTTCATATATCAATGCAATCAGAAAGAATTCAATACATACATACTTTTGTTTGGTGCCCCACTCATATGAGCTTTTGCAGCAAATAGATATGAAAAAATATTAAAAAAGCAAATATTGATCCTTTTTTTATGTAAATCATTTGTTTACATTTTTTTTTTTTTTTACAAACAGCTTTGCGATTCGGACAAGCTATGGGAGCACATTGTGGAAAGGTCTTGTGATACCGTCACCCCAGAGATGAGAGCTTTAGCCCAAAATATTGGCTGGAAGCAGTTCTTCTTCACCAATAAGCTGCAGCTGCAGCTCCAGCTCCGGAGATGGAGGGAGAAACAGGAAAAGAGTCAAGATATCATCCTGGAATGACATCAAGTGCTGAATAATCAAATACAATGGAGGTCACATCTCCTCATTACTTCTGATAGAGGAACATGTTTGAAAGAAGAACTGTCTGTGTTGCCCATAGCACACAGTGTCTATATTTTTAAGTTTCTGGTGCATAAAAAAATGTGATCAGTTGCTAAGGGGAACTTAGACAGGCCTTCCACATAGGAAGGAGGCTATAGAGTTCCTTCATGTTATGTATGCTTGGCAGATGCTGATTTATTCTGTGAAATATTTGTGCCTTAAATACAACGCCAAAATTATTTTCTGTGTAAGATTTATTAGTTTTTTTACATTACTTTTGTACCTGAAGCATCAGTGAAATTAAAAGCTAAAAGATAGTTACATTTGAGTGTCTTTATTTGGATGTGTATAGGAATGCACACTAGTTAAATCATTTTTGAACAGGTTTGTTTAATAATATTTGGTTATGGATGGACGCTGGTGGGTTGAATTACTCACTGCCTTCTCGTGGTCTAGGCACACCCATGCAAAGCTCTTGCTGCTGGGGTTTGCAGCTGTCCTCCTCCATGTGGTAAGCTGTAGGAATGTGTCATAGTTCGATCATTTATTATAAAGTGCCATAACTAGAACTGAACCAGAAGTGAAAAGAGGCAAACTGCTATAAGATTCTGCTTGAATGTTAATCCAACCAACCTTTTCACTACCTACTATCTTCTGGTCTTTTTTTGTTGGCGTTTTTTTTTTTCCCTTTACGCATCCTCAAACCCTTCAACAGACTGTAGCCTTCTACAACTGGAAAGTCACTATTCAATTCCCTCTCTCTATTATCCAGTTCCTTTCTTTCTATGTAGGACTATTATTTGTAATATCACCTCCTTCCCATTTCACATTTTTACACAACCCTTTCCACTTCTATATTCCATTCAACCTTCCTCTATCTCTCCTTTACTAAATCCAGACTTTGTCACCCTCGCTATGAATCTCTTGTACCTAAGCTGATATATTCTGCTTTCCCACATCTCTTATCACCCCTAACCTACAGTGTGTAACTTCATCAAGTTACCATATTTTTCACTCCATAAGATGCACCTGACCATAAGACGCACCTAGGTTTTAGAGCAGGAAAACAAGAAAAAAAATATTCTGAGCCAATGGACTGCAGACACAGTACAGGAAATGACCAGAGACTGTGGATGTACTACAGGAGATGACCAGAGACTGCGGACATAGTACAGGAGATGACCAGAGACTGCAGACATAGTACAGGAGATGACCAGAGACTGTGGATGTACTACAGGAGATGACCAGAGACTACAGACATAGTACAGGAGATGAACAGAGACTGCGGATGTACTACAGGAGATGACCAGAGACTGCAGACATAGTACAGGAGATGAACAGAGACTGCGGATGTACTACAGGAGATGACCAGAGACTGTGGACATAGTACAGGAGATGACCAGAGACTGTGGACATAGTACACCAGAGGAGACATGACCAGAGACTGCAGACATAGTACAGGAGATGACCAGAGACTGCGGACATAGTACAGGAGATGACCAGAGACTGCGGATGTACTACAGAGATGACCAGAGACTGCAGACATGCAGACGTACTACAGGAGATGATCAGAGAATGCAGACATAGTACAGGAGATGACCAGAGACTGCAGACATACTACAGGACATGACCAGAGACTGCGGACATGTACTACAGGAGATAACCAGAGACTGCGGACATAGTACAGGAGATGACCAGAGACTGCGGACATAGTACAGGACATGACAGAGACTGCGGACATAGTACAGGAGAGACCGGAGACTGCGGACATAGGGGTGACCAGAGACTGCGGGGGGGGGGGGGGTACCCAAATTTGATAGGTGCCCGCTCCCACTTCCGCTGCAATTGCCTCTCTCCCCGTAGTCTTGTGGGACACATGACAGGTCCCAGAGGACTACGGGGCCATTCACCAAGCGCAGCGCTTCTTGCACATGCGCATTGGGCACCCGGTTGTGAAGCCGCAAGCTGTCACAGCCAGGTGCCCACACTGAAGATGATGAGGTGATGAGGACACCCTGGACCGAGGAGTAGGTTCTGCTGCAAAAAAGAGCCGAGTGGCCGGCCCAGTATTCTAACACGGCGACAGGGGGAGTACCAGGCTGGCAGCTCCATATTCGCTCCATAAGACGCACAGACCTTTCCCCCAATCTTTCAGGGGGGAAAAAGTGCATCTTATGGAGCTAAAAATACAGTACCTGATCTTACCTGAAACTTTTGTAATGCCCTCTCAGTATGTAACGAGCTTCTAAAGCCGGCCATAGATGGTTCAGCAGGGTTGGGTTAAACCACATAGGTAAAACCAGCATGCCGGATTTCTAGCATCCAATTATTGCCAGCAGCTATAGCCCCTAGTAATAATCATTGTGTTCCCCCCGCGCCCCAGCCCCCCTCTGAGAGAACACAGTAGCTCAGTGGGAGGGATTCCCGCATCAACACTGACTGTGTTGATGGGAGAATTGAGAGGTTGCAGCAAAGAAAATTGCATTATCTCTGGCCTGCCTAACACCTTTACTTTTGTAGGGCTCACTGAAACATGGCTAGCTTCTTCAACTGCTACATTTGAATATATAGAGGCCTTAAAGCAGCATTAAACCCAAAACCACAAATATAATATATTGCAGCTTACCAATCATTAGATGTGATGGCTGCATTAGTTTTCATTTTTTAGGCTTTTTACCCCTCTGTTTTCACTTGGTGATCTCGCTTATAACACACCTCCTGTGTTAGGGTGCCGCCACTCTGGATGAAGGAGCACAGGTGGCACCTTTGGACAGTAGCATTGTCAGTCTGGGGGGTGGGGAGTGTTAGATGTACTAGCAGATTTAGATACACTAACAACCTCAAGCCAAACTCCAGCTCACACTACAGTTACACAAGGAGTTACAGCAGCATGTTTTTTCTTTTGGGATAAAGGTTTTACATGAATAAATAAAAGCTGATCATCGTACGCACCCCTGTCAAATGGTTTGTCTCAACACTCTAAAACTGTGACATTTGCAGGAGAGCTACACTTTTTTAATTTCCTTTCTATTGATATTCTCATCCACAACTACCATATTGGATCCTTTGAATATCCTAAGTGATCTTCCACTTACAATGGAGACCACAAATCTTCACCCTTACCATCATTTGCCTTTGCACTGCATCAGCTTACTTGCATGCATGCATTCTCACAGAGATCATAGTATTCTACCAAACAATAGGGTTGAATTACTAAAGGTAAATAGGCTGTTCATTTTGCATGTGAAAAGGGATTTATTTCCCCTGAAACTAGTGAATTGTCACTGCAAAAGATACCCAGTCACATGCCAGGATGATATAAAAGCAATACTTTTGCTTGTACGTGATTGTATGATGTTAGTCAGTAGGACTTTACCTAATTCACTAAGCTATGGGAAAATTCCCTTGCCAAATGCAACTTCCCTTGAAAAGTAAACAGCCGTTTCCCTTTAGTAAGTGAACCCCAATGTGTCATTCCAAGTTCTTTCTGTAGTTTCTTCATTAACACCCTTGACTGAATAAAGGCCTAAAACCTAGTACAGTTGTATTCAAAATAATAGCAGTCAGACATCACTTACCTGATCAATCATTGTTTTTGGCAGAAATTATATTTCTACATGGCAAATAATTTACTAGCAGGTGTAGTAGAGTAATAGAAATCCAACAGACCCAACAGTCATGACATGCATGCTGCTGATTCTGTGTGATTGAGTCACTAATTGAAAGGGGCATGTTCAAAATAATAGCAGTGTGGAGTTCTATTAGTGAGGTCATTCATTCTTTGAAAAACAGGTGACAATTATTGCCCTTATTTAAGGAAGGAAGACAGCAAATGTTGTACATGCTGGTTACAGTGCATTTCTCTCTGAAATTCGTACAGCGTACCTTGATTAAAAAGTTGATTGGAGATGGGAAAACATATAAAGAAGTGCAGAAAATGATAGGCTGCTCAGCTAAAATGATCGCAAATGCTTTAAAATGGCAACCAAAACCTGAAAGACGTGGAAGAAAGCGAAAAACTACCATTCGAATGGATAGAAGAATAGCCAAAATGGCAAGGACTCAGCCAACAATCAGCTCCAGGAAGATCAAAGAAAGTCTAAAGTGACCTGTGAGTACTGTTACAATTAGAAGACGCCTATGTGAAGCCAAGCTATCTGCAAGAAGCCCCCGCAAAGTCCCACTGTTGAAAAAAAAGACGTGCTGAAGAGGTTACAATTTGCCAAAGAGCACATTGACTGGCCTAAAGAGAAATGGCGCAACATTTTGTGGACTGATGAAAGTAAGATTGTTCTTTTTGGGTCTAGTGGCCGGAGACAGTTTGTCAGACGACCCCCAAACACTGAATTCAAGCCACAGTACACTGTGAAGACAGTGAAGCATGGTTGCACAAGCATCATGATATGGGGATGTTTCTCATACTACGGTGTTGGGCCTATTTATCGCATACCAGGGATCATGGATCAGTTTGAATACATCAGAATACTTGAAGAGGTCATGCTGCCTTTTGCTGAAGAGGAAATACCCTTGAAATGGGTGTTCCAACAAGACAACGACCCCAAACACACCACTAAACGTGCAACATCTTGGTTCCAGACCAACAAGATTGACGTTATGGAGTGGCCAGTCCAATCCCCGGATCTTAATCCAATAGAAAACTTGTGGGGTGACATCAAAAATGCAGTTTCTGAGGCAAAACCAAGAAATAGAGAAGAACTGTGGAATGTGGTCCAATCATCCTGGGCTGGAATACCTGTTCATGGGTGCCAGAAGTTGGTTGACTCCGTGCAACACAGATGTACAGCAGTTCTCAGAAACAGTGCTTATACAACTAAATATTAATGAAGTGATTCAAAGGAAAGCAAAATCTTCAAACATTTTTCAGTTTATATAGTGAATGTTTGAGTTTGTAAAGAAGAATACAAACACTGCTATTTTTTTGAACAGTCTAATATTCA